TCTGGTTTAATCGTACAAATAGAGCTTCTTGGACTTTATCGAGACAACCAAGGAGCCTGGAGTCATTTTGTTAGCCAAATTTGATGGCATAGTTGGACTTGCATTTCAAGAGATATCAGTTGGAAATGATGTACCTGTGTATTTCATGAGTATCTACTCTGCTTGACTCAGGTTGTGTTTTCAATGATCCATAGGAATTCAGAGATTTCATCTTGCTATGTTTCTCAGTGGTGGAGGTGGCTGAGTTGAGGGGATGGGGAACCTGGGGGAGGGGGAGCAGGGGGGCGCTGGGTTGTTGGGCATAGAAGGGGTTGGGATTTTTAAAGTTTTATTTTTCTTTTTCTAATTTTATATTATTTTGTCACTATATATATTTTGGGATTGGTTAGTAGGATGGTCCTACAATTGACACGTCATTAGTTAACGTCTAACCAAACGGTCAACTTAACGGAAGGCTTAAATTGGTCATATTTGAAAATATTGGAGTGTAAATTAATGAAAGTGAAAACCTAAGGTCCATATTGAGAATGACCTCAAACCATCAGGGTGTCTTTTGTCGTTAGCTCATAAATAAATAACTCACACACAGCACGTAGAGGAAGGAAAAAAAAACCACCCTACCCTTGCACGTAGAGAAAAAAACACACTCTTGTTGCTGCTGCAATCACCTTCAAGACTTAATTCAAGTGAACCAAGTTCCTATATTCGTCAAGAAGCTTCTCTCAATTTGTTGATGTTCTAATTTGAGGATTTTTTTTAGAGTTTATGAAGTATCAATTAGGATTTGCAATTGAAACTTATGAATTATCAATTAGGGATTTGCAATTGGGGCTTATCAATTTCAGTTTATGAGTTATGAATTATCAAATAGGAATTGTAATTGATTTTATTGTTCTTGCTTATTAAATAGGTGTAATTTTTTTTTTGGGTTTTCAATGAAATTACATGGTATTGTTGAGTTTTCTATCTACTTAGTACCTAAATTTAGCCCACCCCCATTTTGAAATCCTTGGTCCATCCTGGATCCGAGGCCAAGAAAGTTGACCTACGAAAATGAACAAAAACAGAATTTACATTCAATAATGCACTTTTAGCTCACATTCATACCAATAAATGTAAAATCTATGAAAAACACAGAAAGGAAGTAAAATGCTATAAAATATCAAGAATTAACTCAAAATATTGGATGAATAACATGATAAATCATGTGTAAAAATGAACCCAACACTTTCTAGGAAATTCATGGAAATATCATTAGATGAAAAACTGTTCTGTTGTATGAGATCAGTTCACAAGACCAATACCACAGTAGTAGTCATATATTTCAAACATGAGGGTAACCAAATTGAAGAGGCGCAATTGGAGGAACAAGTATATGAGCAAGTTGATGATGAAGGTATTGAGACTGATGATGTTGAAGGTACTGATACTGATGTTGTGAAGGCACTGATGAAGAGGGTGATAACAAAGATCCTGATTTTGTTGATAGCGATTATGAACAAAGTGAAGTTGAGGAGTGCTTGTTGAAACATGATGACAAGTGGTTTGATGGCAATGTAGATTATGATACGATTGACATTGATCTTAATGTAGAGGAAGATGATGATGAGTCAGACCATGGAGAAGACTCACCTACACTTGGAAGCACATGTAGCTCTTCTAGTGAAGATGAAGCAATTGCTAATTTGAGGATGAGGAGGAAGAAAATGCCAAATGGTGAGGATTTCAGGCTTGAAACTAATATGGCAAACCCACCATCAATAATAGAGCATATCGTCAATGATGGGGATCGGAGTCCGAACATAGGTCACCAACAACACACACGAGCATCGAACTCTAGAGTTTGTGCAAACTCACATATTTCATAGCAAATCCATGCCACAAATAAACTATTTTATTAATCATAAAAAAACTTCCCTACAATTATTACATTAGCTTATTTATAGGCTTTACAAGACTTGGACACCAAGGCTACTCGGTCAAAAGTAAGCTAATTAATTACAAAATCACACATAAATAATAAAAGATATCCTAAAACTACCTAAATAAGAAAATAATATTATCTCAAGAAATAACAAATTAAAGGGTAATATCTATCCTGATCCACTTGCATCAATCAAGGACTCTTCTTTTACAATTCTTGTTCCAAGTTATAGTCCACCATTTCTCACCATTTCCCACGAGATAAAGCAACTGACTTTTCCCCATCTCATCAATCATGTATACTTGAGTTTGAGTTTCTCACCACACACCAAACCACCATGGTTAAAAATTCAGAAACTACCCTGATTTTGAATTTCCAAAAACTCAAAATATTCCAAACAGACCAATTTAAGAAACTTGAAAATGTGTATATGGTGAGAAAACTTGCATTGACACATAATATTTTGACAGTTCTTATTGTGCTATGGTATCTTGGCAACAGTACTGACAGCTGAAGCCATAGACATACACGATAGCAGGCTTAGAGCCTTAACATATATAATATGAAGACCAGTTCAGGTGCGTATATGAAAATGTCCTCTCTATCCCTCAACTTGAGTGTGGAAAAGCAACGGCTTTCAGAGGATATTTTCTATGTGAGGTTAAGCCAATGGTTTCTGTCATGTGTAAATCCTCCCCACTTGCTTCGCCGGGCAATGCCCAGTCGAACTTGTGCACGATGTTTGCTAAGGCAATTTCATTAATAGCCATGGCAAACTGAAGTCCTGGGCAGACCCTCCTACCAGGTCCAAATGGAATCAATTGAAAGTCATTCCCTTTGTAATCTATACCACTATTCAAGAACCTTTCTGGCTCATACTCCTCTGGGTTGTCATACAGCTTGGGATCTCTTCCAATTTTCCATGCGTTGATGAAAACTTGTGTGTTGGCTTTAATGTTGTAGCCATTTACTTCCACGTCTCGGGTTGACATCCTGGGAAATAGTAGTGGAAGTGGTGGATGTAAGCGAAGAGTCTCCTTCGTCACTGCCTTCAAGTAGTGCATTTCAACCAAATCATCCTCTGTAATTACGTCTGTTTTGTTTCCAACTATTCCCCTTACCTCATTCTGCAATTTGTTCATGACCCTTGGATGCCTTAAAAGCTCAGTCATTGTCCACTCTAAGGCCGTATATGTGGTATCAGTGCCAGCACCAAACATGTCTTAAAAAGAAATGATTGGATTAAGATATTTAAGCTATTGCAAAATATATAAATATATATACTACTATATGTTACATCTCTTTCACAAAAACACACACACATGCATATATATATATATATATAGAGAGAGAGAGAGAGAGAGAGAGAGAGAGAGAGTTATAGTTACCAAGATGATACCCTTTATACCAACCCTATCAATAGGAATACCAGCCAAGTTTTCTTTCTGAATTGCAAGCAAAACGTCCAAAAAATCCTTTTGGTCATCATCTCCACTCTTTGAACTATGGTTCATATGCTCTTGAACCGCTGTATCTATAAAGTCATCCAACTGCTTAGCCACCTTGTCTAACTTGGCTCCCAAACCATTAATATGGCTCAACCAAGAAAGCCATGGGATATAGTCCCCAACATTAACAGTTCCCAGTAAGTCAGTGAGCTCCCCTAAAAGCTTCTTAAACATCCTCCCACTTTCCCCATCTTCCCCATCATTGTACTTCCTCCCTAAAGCCACTCTACACACCACATCATTAGTAAGCCTCACAAACATTTCGCTTAAATTCAAAACAGACGATGATGATGATGATGAATCATTTATGTATCTGATCATGGATTTGGTTTCCTCTTCCCTCACAGAACGAAAAGACCGAACCCTTGTGTTGCTCAAAAGATTTGACACACATATACTTCTCACCAGCCTCCAATACTCACCATACGGCGCGCTTGCGACATCTTTGTGGTTGTAGAGTAGCTTCCCAAAGATGGTGGACTTGGGTCGACTAGAAAACGCGAGGTCATGAGTTTTCAAGATCTCCCGGGCTGCCTCAGCTGAAGACACAAGAAGCACCGGGACACTTCCAAAGTGAAGAAGCATGAGAGGGCCATGGCGTTGGGACAAGGCTTGAAGTGAGCGATGAGGGGACGAGCCTATCTGGTGAAGGTTTCCAATGATAGGTAGCTTTGGTGGAGAAGTTGGTGGTGATGATTTTTGGGTGGCGGTTTTAGTGGAAGAGTACCATGTGTATAGGAAGATGAGGAAAATGGCCAGCAGTGTGAAGGACAAAGGTTGCAAAAAGGAGGAGCTTTCATTTAGCTCTTGCAATACTTGCATGGTATTTAGCATCTTCAGGGTTAGTGCTAAGAAAAGAATGTGTTGTGTGTGTTGTTTATAAAGGCAAAGATCATCCTACCACGCAGAACAGAACCATCCGTGGTTCCATAAGAAAACAAAACAACAAGAGGATAGGACCATCCAATGTATTTAAAAGTTGAAACCACCGCCTCACTACTTTGCGTGTGTGCATGCTGATGGTCCATTTGTAATAGGAGAGCCATGTGTCGGCCAACTTGGAGCCACATAAAAGTTTATGGACGAGTTTGTTTGTTTAAATTTGTTATCTTCTTCTTTCTTCTTTCTTCTTTGTTCTAGGGATGAGTTATTCCACACGAATTCATCCACTTGAGCAAAAGATGTAAATAATATATTTCCTTGTATTAAACAGATTACACAAAGTCTCTATTTATACTGATGGGGATCGGAGTCCGAACATAGGTCACCAACAACACACACGAGCACCGAACTCTAGAATTTGTGCAAACTCACATATATCATAGCAAATCCATGCCACAAATAAACTATTTTATTAATCATAAAAAAACTTCCCTACAATTATTACATTAGCTTATTTATAGGCTTTACAAGACTTGGGCACCAAGGTTACTCGGTCAAAAAGTAAGCTAATTAATTACAAAATCACACATAAATAATAAAAGATATCCTAAACTACCTAAATAAGAAAATAACAATATCTCAAGAACTAACAAATTAAAGGGTAATATCTATCCTGATCCACCCCTATGCTCGTGCATCAATCAAGGACTTCTTTTACAATTCTTGTTCCAAGTTATAGTCCACCATTTCTCACCATATACTTGCTGTCAATTTTGTATCAACAAGAGATCCCTCTCTCCTTTTCCCACTCAAAACTGTAAGTGATTTCTTTTATTCTTTCTTTTACATGTTCTCATCATGGACATATATAGATTTGAGAGGATATTTCCCATGCATGGTTAAACCAATAGCCTCAGTCAAATTCCCAAAACACAAAATATTTCCCAAGAAACCAGTTTAAGACATTTGCATTCACACTCACAACAACAGATTTGAGAGGATATTTCCTATGCATGGTTAAACCAGTAGCTTCAGTCACGTCCAAATCCTTGCCGGTTGCTCCACCAGGCAATTTCCAATCAAACTTATGTGCTATATTTACTAAAGCAATCTCAGTAACATCTGTGGCAAATTGAACTTACACAAGAATATGGAACTTGCACGGATCTTTATTTTTGTTTGGATGAACAAACACTAAAGGAACACTTTAGATACTCTTAAACAAAACTCGAATTTCATGATCTTATGTGTTTCACACATCCAACCTTCTAAAATGAATATAGAAAGAAAATATGTTCTAGAAAAACCTCATTGGTAATGCAAGATAAGATCACAGTTAGATAAGATCACCATGGGGCATTTTCTTCTTCTTTTGTCTTTTACCTCCTCTCTTTTTGACTTTCTTTGTGAGAGTAATCTAATACTAGTCTTGTTTCAATTATCTTTCCCACTTTAATTTAGGCCCAGTTTGGGATTGCTGTCATTTTTAAAAAAAAATTGCTTTTGCTGTGCTTTGAAAATAATTAACTGTAAAGTAAAGCAGCTTCATGTTTGGTAAACAATATTTTTAAAGGGTTATTAGTACAAAAAGCAGTGTCAAAACAGTTTGGTAAATTTTAATGTAAAATTGTTGTAACTGTGAATAATGACTAAAATAGACATGATGTTAAAAGTGTTATGTACTAATCATGTGGTGGTAGTGGTAGTGGTAGTAATGGAGTGGAGGTAGTGGTGGTGATGAAGGTGGAGTTGGGGGTTGTGGTAATGGTGGTGGTGGTGGTGGAGATGGCGATTGTGGAGGTGGTGGTGATGGTGGTAGTAGCAACATGGTGGTGGTTGTGGTGGTGGTTGTGGTGTTGGTTGTGGAGGTGGTAGTGGATGTGGAGGTTTTGGAGGAAGAGGTGGTTGTGGTGGTGCTGGAGGTGGAAGTGGTGGAGGTGGAGGAGGAGGTAGAGGAGGTGGTGGTAAAGGTGGTGGAGGAGGTGATGGTTGTGGTGGTGGCGGAGGAGGATGAGGATGAGAAGGATGTGGTGGTGGTGGTTGTGGAGGTAGTGAATGTGGATGTGGAAGTGGATGTGATGTCATTTTTTTAAAATGAATGATGGTATTTTGGGAATTAAAAAAATTCATTAAAAGTTCATCTCTGTTTTTTTTTAAAAGCAACTTTGAAAAGCAACCCAGAGCCTTTTAAAAGCTGTTGTCAAAAGGCCACTGCTTTTAAAATAATCGGGATATTTTATTTTTACCAAACACCTTAAACTGCTTAACTTTAAAGTGAAGCAGGTTTTTGACAAAAATAAAAAACAATCCCAAACGGGGCCTTAATCCCACGAGATAAAGCAACTGACTTTTCCCCATCTCATCAATCATGTATACTTGAGTTTGAGTTTTCTCACCACACACCAAACCACCATGGTTAAAAATTCAGAAACTACCCTGATATTGAATTTCCAAAAACTCCAAATATTCCAAACAGACCAATTTAAGAAACTTGAAAATGTGTATATGGTGAGAAAACTTGCATTGACACATAATATTTTGACAGTTCTTATTGTGCTATGGTATCTTGGCAACAGTACTGACAGCTGAAGCCATAGACATACACAATAGCAGGCTTAGAGCCTTAACATATATAATATGAAGACCAGTTCAGGTGCGTATATGAAAATGTCCTCTCTATCCCTCAACTTGAGTGTGGAAAAGCAACAGCTTTCAGAGGATATTTTCTATGTGAGGTTAAGCCAATGGTTTCTGTCATGTGTAAATCCTCCCCACTTGCTTCGCCGGGCAATGCCCAGTCGAACTTGTGCACGATGTTTGCTAAGGCAATTTCATTAATAGCCATGGCAAACTGAAGTCCTGGGCAGACCCTCCTACCAGCTCCAAATGGAATCAATTGAAAGTCATTCCCTTTGTAATCTATACCACTATTCAAGAACCTTTCTGGCTCATACTCCTCTGGGTTGTCATACAGCTTGGGATCTCTTCCAATTTTCCATGCGTTGATGAAAACTTGTGTGTTGGCTTTAATGTTGTAGCCATTTACTTCCACGTCTCGGGTTGACATCCTGGGAAATAGTAGTGGAAGTGGTGGATGTAAGCGAAGAGTCTCCTTCGTCACTGCCTTCAAGTAGTGCATTTCAACCAAATCATCCTCTGTAATTACGTCTGTTTTGTTTCCAACTATTCCTCTTACCTCATTCTGCAATTTGTTCATGACCCTTGGATGCCTTAAAAGCTCAGTCATTGCCCACTCTAAGGCAGTATATGTGGTATCAGTGCCAGCACCAAACATGTCCTAAAAACAATTGATTGGATTAAGATATTTAACCTTTTGCAAAATATATAAATATATATACTACTATATGTTACATCTCTTTCACAAAAACACACACACATGCATATATATATATATATATATAGAGAGAGAGAGAGAGAGAGAGAGAGAGGAGAGAGTTATAGTTACCAAGATGATACCCTTTATACTAACTCTATCAATAGGAATGCCAGCCAAGTTTTCTTTCTGAATTGCAAGCAAAATGTCCAAAAAATCCTTTTGGTCATCATCTCCACTCTTTGAACTATGGTTCATATGCTCTTGAACCGCTGTATCTATAAAGTCATCCAACTGCTTAGCCACCTTGTCTAACTTGGCTCCCAAACCATTGATATGGCTCAACCAAGAAAGCCATGGGATATAGTCCCCAAAATTAACAGTTCCCAGTAAGTCATTGAGCTCCCCTAAAAGCTTCTTAAACATCCTCCCACTTTCCCCACCTTCCCCATCATTGTACTTCCTCCCTAAAGCAACTCTACACATCACATCATTAGTAAGCCTCACAAACATTTCGCTTAAATTCAAAACAGACGATGATGATGATGATGAATCATTTATGTATCTGATCATGGATTTGGTTTCCTCTTCCCTCACAGAACGAAAAGACCGAACCCTTGTGTTGCTCAAAAGATTTGACACACATATACTTCTCACCTGCCTCCAATACTCACCATACGGCGCGCTTGCGACATCTTTGTAGTTGTAGAGAAGCTTCTCAAAGATGGTGGACTTGGGTCGACCAGAAAACGCGAGGTCATGAGTTTTCAAGATCTCCCGGGCTGCCTCAGCTGAAGACACAAGAAGCACCGGGACACTTCCAAAGTGAAGAAGCATGAGAGGGCCATGGCGTTGGGACAAGGCTTGAAGTGAGCGATGAGGGTACGAGCCTATCTGGTGAAGGTTTCCAATGATAGGTAGCTTTGGTGGAGAAGTTGGTGGTGATGATTTTTGGGTGGCGGTTTTAGTGGAAGAGTACCATGTGTATAGGAAGATGAGGAAAATGGCCAGCAGTGTGAAGGACAAAGGTTGCAAAAAGGAGGAGCTTTCATTTAGCTCTTGCATGGTATTTAGCATCTTCAGGGTTAGTGCTAAGAAAAGAATGTGTTGTGTGTGTTTTTTATAAAGGCAAAGATCATCCTACCACGCAGAACAGAACCATCCGTGGTTCCATAAGAAAACAAAACAACAAGAGGATAGGACCATCCAATGTATTTAAAAGTTTGAAACCACCGCCTCACAACTTTGCGTGTGAGCATTCTGATGGTCCATTTGTAATAGGAGAGCCATGTGTCGGCCAACTTGGAGCCATATAAAGTTTATGGACGAGTTTGTTTGTTTAAATTTGTTATCGTCTTCTTTCTTCCTTCTTCTTTTTCTTCTTTCTTCTAGGGATGAGTTATTCCACACGAATTCATCCACTTGAGCAGAAGATGTAAATAATATATTTCCTTGTATTAAACAGATTACACAAAGTCCCTATTTATACTGATACAGGAAATCTACTTTAAGGTAGGAAATAATATAGACATGAATACAATCCGATTTACAGCAGGAAAAGCTAATTACTAGAAGGAGGTTGTGAAGTTGACTTCTGTGTGTGCTAGGAAAGGAAAGCTGCGTTAACACCCCCTGCAAACTGGGCGTCACATGATGCACAAGTTTGGAAGACATATGTTGATGGCGTGGTTTGTGAAGGGCCTTGGTAAACAGGTCCGTAGGTTGGTCAACAGAAGGAACAAAGCAAACTTGATGACTTCCAAGAGCAACCTTTTTACGGACAAAGTGATAGTCTAACTCAATGTGACATGTGCGGGCATGGAAAACTGGATTGGCAGCCATGTACGTGGTGCTGAGATTGTCACAAAAGAGTTGGACCGGAAACCAAAGACACACACCCAATTCATGAAGAAAGGAACGGAGCCAAGTGGTTTCGGCACAAGCATGAGAGAGGGCACGAAATTTCGATTCTGTACTAGAGTGCGAGACTGTGGATTGTTTCTTGGAACACTATGAGATGAGGTAGTTCCAAGAGTAATCACATATCCAGTGGTTGACCAACGAGAATCAAGGCACCCAACCCAGTTTGCATCAGAGTAGGGGAAGAGGTGAGCTGTAGCAGTTTGAGGAGTGAAGGTGAGGCCGAGATCAATAGTGCCCTTGATGTACCTTAGTATCCGTTTGGAGCAACAAGGTGAGAGGTGCGAGGGGCACTTATGAACTGAGCAACAATGTTGACGACAAAAGATATGTCAGGACGAGTAAGAGTGAGATACTGTAAACTACCAACAAGCTTGCAATACTCGGTTGGGTTGGAGATTAGAGCACCATTAGAGACATAGAGGAGAACCTAGGCAACCAATGGGGTAGATGTGGGTTTGGAGTTGAGAAGATTGGTTTTCTGTAAAAGATCATGTGCATATTTGAGTCGATTAATGTGGAAAGTGTCATCCTATGAAAAACCTGTAAACCTAAGAAATAGCTTAGCGAACCAAGGTCTTTGGTGTCAAAGTGGCCACCTAAAAGAGAGATGAATTGTTAGAGATGAGTGGAATCATTGCCAGTTACCATGATGTCGTCGACATATAGAAGAAGAAAGATAGTATGGGAGGCCTGTTGAAAAATAAATAATGAAGTGTAAGCTTGGCTCCGTATAAAGCCCATAAAGAGAAGGAAAGTACTAATGCGATAGAGCCAAGCACGAGGTGCTTGTTTGAGGCCATAGAATGCTTTATGGAGCTTGCAAACATGAGAAGGACGAGTGGGATCAATGAAACTAGGGAGTTGAGCCATGTAGACATCTTCTTGAAGAAACCAATGGATAAAGGTATTTTTGACATCAAGTTGACGAAAGGGACCAATCACGAAAAAATGCAAGACTGAGAACAATGCAAATGGTGGCAACTAGACGGGCTTTAAAGCGTTCAATGGAGTCGTCAGAGTGACTTTTAATCTTAAAACCACTTGCACCCAACCATGTTCTGAGAAGGAGAGGAAGGAACCAAAGACCATGTATGATTTTTGAGAAGTGCATTGACCTCTTTAGTCTTGGCGTCATTCCATTCAGGATGCTTAGTAGCCTGTGAAAAACAAATGGGTTCAGTATGATTAACAACAATGAATAAGGCACGGGAAAATGGGTATTTAACAGTGCCGTTGGTATGAAGCTTGGGCTTTTGAATGCCATCTTGAAGGCGGGTGCGCATGCGAGGAACAAGGGCAGGAGCGGGAGAGAGGTGTATGCGAGGGCGTCGGGAATAAGTTTGGAGCAATAGCTGAGCTGACGCTGAAGAAGTGTCGCAGAGTGGAGCCAAATGAGGTAATTGGAGTCAGTAAGCTTGATAAAATGAGAAGAGTTGGGGCTAGGGAGGGAGATGGTGGATTCAAATAAAGCCATGAGGTGGACCTAAAGAAGAGGATTGGATCGAATAAGGGAGAGGGAGGAAACATAGGTAAGGTTGATACATGTAAAGAATATATTTCCTTGTATTAAACAGATTACACCAAGTCCCTATTTATACTGATACAAGAAATCTACTTAAGGTAGGAAATAATATAGACATGAATACAACCCGATTTACAGTAGGAAAAGCTAATTGCTATGAGGAGATTGTGAAGTTGACTTCCGTGTGTGCTAGGAAAGGAAAGCTGCATTAACAGAAGACAACAAAAAAATTTAGATGCTTTCGGAAAGCATACTGTGTTCGGCTTTTGACTTAAAAGAGTTCCGTGCCTCATTTAAGTTTCTATCTTGTGCATAGAAAAATTCAAGGTAGAAATTTGTTTTCGTGTAGATCCAAAAGACTTTAAATCAAAATCCAATCTAACATCCAAGTTTAATGGGAAATACACATCTTATCTATGGATGACAGTCTAAATTCCTAGATTTTTTATTTATTTTTTTATTTTTATCAAGGAACAATATAAAGAATCATTTTATATAGGCTAAGCATGACTCAGTATTTCATGATCTTATGCTTTCCTCTGGGCTTCTGTTATGAAACTTTGAGGTGACACAACAGAAAGGCCTTCACAATCATAAAATGGGAAAGCAGGAATTCTCCGAAAACCTTGGCGCTGCCGTAGCTACAAGAGGAGCTTTTCTATGGATGACAAGGCCAGTACATTCTCTTGCTCACCAGGCAATGTCCAGTCAAACTTGTGCACGAGTAACACAATCTCATTAGTGATCATGGCAAACAAAGATCCTGGACAGCCCCTTCTTCCAGCTCCAAATGGGATTAATTGGAAGTCATGCCCTTTGAAATCTACAGAAGAGTTCAAAAACCTCTCTGGTTTAAACTCCTCTGGTCATCCCACATTGAGGGGTCTCTTCCAATTGTCCAAGCACCATGGTTCTTGCTGCTATGTCATAACCCTTTATTTTAGCCTCTTGAGTTGATTCGTGAGGAACCAGTAACGGTATTGGAGGATACAACCGAAGTGTCTCTTTTATCACTGCTTTTAAGTATGGAAATTTATCTAAATCGCCTTCAGTTATGTCTGCTTTGCCATTAGCAATTCCCATCACCTCATCTTGCAGTTTTTTCAAGACTCTCGGATGCCTTAAGAGTTCAGTCATTGCCCACCAAAAATATCCTGCATAAACCAAGAAAGATCTTAGTTCACCCCCGAAATCAATTAGCAACGGATGGAGAAGTATAAGATTTTATATATTCTGATGTAGGTATCTTAGGCACATAAAGATATTGAGCTTTCTTGCTTTAGTTGTGGAGACAGAGAAGAGACTAACCAAAATGATACCTTTGATGCTATCCCTATCAATGGAAGCCAGCGTTCTTTTGCTTTTGAATTTCAACCAGAACATGCACAAGATCCTTCCAATCTTCACCTTCAACACTCATATTATCACCACAGCTCTCTCCTTTCATGTTAGGGGTACACATATGCTCATCAACCACAGAATCCAGAAACTCATCAAACTCCTTAGCAACTTTCTCCACTCTTGCATCTAAAGCATTAATTTGACTAACCCAACCAAGCCATGGAATAAAATCCCCTACATAAAAACCACCTGACAAGATCATAAACTTCCCAAGCAACTTCTTAAATTTCCTTGCACCTTCATCTCCACTATACTTAGCCACCCTAAATCACATCATTAGTTAGTGAAGCAAACAACTCACTCAAATTCACAGGCAATGACAGCAGAGAAGACTGTTTCACTTTCTCAGTCAGCAAGGCCAGTTCTTCTTCTCTTACACTCTTAGCTTCATACATAAGTTTATCGGTAATGGTTGATCTACGAGCACTGGTTGCATACCAAAACGAAGCACCATGAGTTCACTCAAATTCACCTGCTGAGCTAGTCGTTGTAGGGATCGAAGAGGGTAAGTGCCTAGTTGGTGGAGGTTTCCAAGTATTGGTAGACTCGGTGGTGAAGGAGGCAGGTTTTTGTGTTTTGGTGTATCGGTAAGCCTTTTGATTAGGAAGATTGTGAAGATGAGGAAGGGAAGGGCAATTACAAATAGGTGCAACATAGCTACTGGTTGCTCAATACCTAAGAACTCAATGTCAAATGTTGATTTGTCTTGTTACATTTTCGGTAATGTTAATCATAGCCTCATATATAGATGTTTCTAACTTCTTTTTAAACCTTTCTTTCTCTTATGTTTTTTTTTTTTAATCTATTGACAGTAAGGAGAGAGGGTTTCCCCCAAAAAAAAAAAAAAAAAAAAAAAAAAAAAAAAAAAAAAAAAAAAAAAAAAAAAAAAAAAAAAAAAAAAAAAAAAAAAAAAAAAAAAAAAAAAAAAAAAAAAAAAAAAAAAAAAAAAAAAAAAAAAAAAAAAAAAAAAAAAAAAAAAAAAAAAAAAAAAAAAAAAAAAAAAAAAAAAAAAAAAAAAAAAAAAAAAAAAAAAAAAAAAAAAAAAAAAAAAAAAAAAAAAAAAAAAAAAAAAAAAAAAAAAAAAAAAAAAAAAAAAAAAAAAAAAAAAAAAAAAAAAAAAAAAAAAAAAAAAAAAAAAAAAAAAAAAAAAAAAAAAAAAAAAAAAAAAAAAAAAAAAAAAAAAAAAAAAAAAAAAAAAAAAAAAAAAAAAAAAAAAAAAAAACAGAGAAATACAAAATGAAACCATTAAGAAAAAGACAAGTAGAAAATGATTTGAAAACAATTTTTCTCTTGCTCTTTCTTCTTGTATTATACCCCTGCATGTCGCCCCCAAAACAGACACGAAGGTGAACTTCATACAAACAGTTATATATGGTGGTGCTGCTAACCAAAGGGAATTTTTAAATTATTGAGTTGGATTTTTTTTTTTTTTTTTTTTTTTTCTTTTTCCTGAAAAATCATTGTTGAGTTGGCAGTTATAAACATTGCAAATTAAGGTTGTTGAGTTCTGAGCGTGTAGGTTTTGCTCTTCTTATATAATTAACTTGGGACAAAACAAACGAACAAGTCCATTTTATTTGCTTAATACTATGTAAATTATTAATTAATAAACTATTTGTGTCTAAGTATGTTAGTGTTTATCATACAATAACAAAGTTGAAGGGAGATCAGGAATCAAATTATAATAATCATCAAAACTATAATTCACAAACCCTAAACCCGGCTATACTTTTAAAATAAATTCGTATATTTTAAATGTATAGCCGTGTGGCTATACTCTTGAAATATTTGTATTCGATATTTTACAAGTATAGCCGCGCGGCTCGGCTATACTCTTTAAAAATATTTATTGGAATATTTTACAAGTATAGCCGCGCGGCTATACGCAACACCAAAACAATTTTTCCACACGTATGGAATAATACTTGGAGGTAGATGAAAATTACAAAGAAAACATAAATATAGGCAAATTACCAATAACGAGCAGCTGATGTCAATAGCCTAAAGCACTAATATTCCAACCATTTTGTAGTTACACTAGAATAACAGTTTTTGCACCAATTCTGGTGAGATCTATCATAAAATCAAACTATCGACTACTTAAAGCTCTTGCTAGGTCTTGGACTAATCCCCGGCGACGACTACCTGTGTAAATTACACATTACATACCCTCCTACTGCATGAGAACATTATTATTTTTATATGGTTGGATTCAGAATGAAACAATAAAGAACCCAACATGACCAAATGTCAAAAGCAGTTACAGAAGTGTACATAATTCAATAAAAAGAACACTCAAAGTTTCAAACAACAAACACAAACAAAAGGAGGGGGGAGGGTTTGATTATTCAAATGACCTAATTCTAATGTTTAAAATGTAACCAAACTCTAATTTTAATAAGATCAACAAATGTGATTAACAAAGTGTAATTTAATATGGTAACAAACACTAGGGTTTTCGGAATCCACCATAAACAATCCTACTCATTTCCATGAATACTCAAGTTATTAACTCTAGATTGATGAAGATTTTTGAAATCATGACAAGGTTTAATGGATCAAGATGTAAGATTCTCTCTAAAATAAGTAAAGTGCGTGTTTAGTGCTACAATACTCGTGCTTTCCATACAATCAATCTAGGTGTGCTTAATACTTCGATTTAATCATATGAAAAACCCATTAAGATTGAAGAGATATGAACATCACAAGAACCCTAATAGTATGATGTTTACAATAGGCATTCAAGAAACTAATTCACATGATGCTCACTTAAAAAGGATTCAATCATTTGTTTGCTAATTAGAAATTATGTTCTTTGGTATCTTACACAACTTCTCAGCTTTAGCTAGATGCATACAACCTAAGGTGATCAATCAAAGGAAGCACACACATAGCATATGATTAATTTAGTGAAAATAAATTCATCAACAACATCTAGAAATCCAATAACTCAAGCATCAAAACAATAGAGTAATCATGTTCAGGGCTTCAACCTAAGCCCTAGTTATGGAGTTTAGTTCTTCATAATTATTACAAACACAAATTCAAAATATAACTAGAAAAAGTTTATAGATTTTGTAGAGATGAAGGCATAAAAGCCTTTAATGGTGGAAGAGTTCTCCTCCTTCATAGCTTCCTTGCTTGGCTGCTGCCCTTTGCTCTCCTCTCTCTCTCTCTCTCTCTCTCTCTCTCTCTCTCTCTCTCTCCCTCTCTTGTTTCAGAAAATGCAAAGTGTAGACAATGTCTCTCTTGGCCAGCTGATCCTTTTCCCCTTGCTTGGCTGCCTTCTCTCTCTTGCCAACTCATTCTTCAATATTAAACTCCACCTTTTGCTAATGTCTTTGGCCATTGTCTCCTCCTCGTCTTCTTGAAATGATGAGATTTGGTTTTTAAATTCATTACAAGGCTCCCTTTGTCTCAGCAAATCCCATTTCAATAAGGTAATTCATTGTTACCAAATGGTATGGTAACAAGTAGAAATAAGATGACATCAAGTGGAGGTAATACTGGCCCAAAACATATTTACATAGCTAGGATCGATGCTGGATTAGTTGGGGAGGTTATACTTGTTCAATGAAGCTCAATTTCAGATATGTTGTAGTTGACACCCATAGGAACAGGACAGACCTAGGAATCTTATCTCATAAAATAGGGTCATAGTGTAAAAGTTCAATTTTTAGGAAGAGCTGGGGCTTGGGCTTAAAGGTTTGGTGGGGGAGAGGGTTAAAGGTTTGTGGGGGTGGAGATTGGGGATTTAGGTTTAGGAATATGGGTTTTGGATTGGAGATGTTAAAGTTGGGAGAGTTCTTTTTGAATCTGTCCTTTTAAAAATATATATATATATAATAAATAAATAAAATACCTGGACCAAAACGACGTCGTTTTGGCCAGGTCTTTGAAAAAAAATTCACTGGGGCTGGACCAAAACGACGCCATTTTGGCCAACGTGTTTTAAAAAAAAATTTAAACGCTGGGCTAAAACGACGCCGCTTTGGCCAGCATGTTTTTATAAAATAAAAAAACAAAAAAATAACAGAAGCCTCGCTCTGCATCTTCTTCTTCCTCAGACCAGCAACCATCTCCTTCATCCATTCATTGGGTCACACAACCATTAAAGGGGACCTTGTAGCTTACTTTCATGGAGTTCATAGGATCGTTTGACCTCATTGACTCCACTATGGATTCGTCCCTGTATAGGAACAAGTTTCATGAAGAATTTAATCCCATATGAGCACCAAAACATGCTGATCCAAACAGGGACGTACCTTTAGTTTGGCTAACCTGAGCTATAGTCGAGGTGGCTTCTTTTTTTCCAGCCAAAAAGAATAATAATTCTAGCTCACCTAATTTAAATAACCCAGCCTCCTTTAGTTCTCCTCGCACAACACGTAGTCAATAAAAAGAGAGAAAAAAAAACGCATACACAACACAGCACGTAGAAAAAAGAAATAAATAAAAGGCTAACAACAAAAGACACCCTAATGGTTTGGGGTCATTCTTAATATGAACCCTAGGGTTTCAATTTCATCAATTTACATCCTAATATTTTCAAATATGACCAATTTAAGCATTCCGTTAAGTTGACCGTTTAGTCAGACATTAACTCATAACGTGTTAATTGTGGGACTCACCTACTAACCAATCCCAATAAATAAATAAATATAAAATGAGAAATATAAAAAAATATAAAAAAAACTTTAAAAAACCCATCGTCTTCCCTGCCCAGCGCCTTCTGTTCCCCACCCAATCTCGCTGAAGCCTACTTCCCAACCTCCGTCTCCCACCCCCTCTCCCTCCACCTCCTCTTCATCTCTCAGACCTCCGCGCACCATTTCACTACCCCAGAAATGCCAGACCCCCAATCTCTCCGTCAACAAGCTCCGCACCCAAAGCGACGTCGATTCAATCCTCGCTCGCCTCCATTGCCACGTCGCCGAGATATTGATCAAGAGCGGCTTCCTCCCCGACGTTGACGTCGAGGTTTTCTCAGTAATTAGCAAACCAGTGGCCACTCATGGTAATTATTATTCTTCCAATTTTTTGTGGGTTTATAATTATATTAGAATATTGAAAGGGTTGGGAGATTCTCCAGATTGTATCGCAGGGGTTAGGCCACCATGTCTGGTTCTGTATTTTTGTTTGTTCTCTGTCATTTTGCTGGGATGGGATTATTGCTAGGGTTGCATGGTCAGGGGTGGGGTTGATCGAGTTGTGGTTTGGTGCGACTTGGTGGGTGTAGGCTCTGGTTTAATCGTACAAATAGAGCTTCTTGGACTTTATCGAGACAACCAAGGAGCCTGGAGTCATTTTTGTTAGCCAAATTTGATGGCATAGTTGGACTTGCATTTCAAGAGATATCAGTTGGAAATGATGTACCTGTGTATTTCATGAGTATCTACTCTGCTTGACTCAGGTTGTGTTTTCAATGATCCATAGGAATTCAGAGATTTCATCTTGCTATGTTTCTCAGTGGTGGAGGTGGCTGAGTTGAGGGGATGGGGAACCTGGGGGAGGGGGAGCAGGGGGGCGCTGGGTTGTTGGGCATAGAAGGGGTTGGGATTTTTAAAGTTTTATTTTTCTTTTTCTAATTTTATATTATTTTGTCACTATATATATTTTGGGATTGGTTAGTAGGATGGTCCTACAATTGACACGTCATTAGTTAACGTCTAACCAAACGGTCAACTTAACGGAAGGCTTAAATTGGTCATATTTGAAAATATTGGAGTGTAAATTAATGAAAGTGAAAACCTAAGGTCCATATTGAGAATGACCTCAAACCATCAGGGTGTCTTTTGTCGTTAGCTCATAAATAAATAACTCACACACAGCACGTAGAGGAAGGAAAAAAAAACCACCCTACCCTTGCACGTAGAGAAAAAAAACACACTCTTGTTGCTGCTGCAATCACCTTCAAGACTTAATTCAAGTGAACCAAGTTCCTATATTCGTCAAGAAGCTTCTCTCAATTTGTTGATGTTCTAATTTGAGGATTTTTTTTTAGAGTTTATGAAGTATCAATTAGGATTTGCAATTGAAACTTATGAATTATCAATTAGGGATTTGCAATTGGGGCTTATCAATTTCAGTTTATGAGTTATGAATTATCAAATAGGAATTGTAATTGATTTTATTGTTCTTGCTTATTAAATAGGTGTAATTTTTTTTTTTTGGGTTTTCAATGAAATTACATGGTATTGTTGAGTTTTCTATCTACTTAGTACCTAAATTTAGCCCACCCCATTTTGAAATCCTTGGTCCATCCTGGATCCGAGGCCAAGAAAGTTGACCTACGAAAATGAACAAAAACAGAATTTACATTCAATAATGCACTTTTAGCTCACATTCATACCAATAAATGTAAAATCTATGAAAAACACAGAAAGGAAGTAAAATGCTATAAAATATCAAGAATTAACTCAAAATATTGGATGAATAACATGATAAATCATGTGTAAAAATGAACCCAACACTTTCTAGGAAATTCATGGAAATATCATTAGATGAAAAACTGTTCTGTTGTATGAGATCAGTTCACAAGACCAATACCACAGTAGTAGTCATATATTTCAAACATGAGGGTAACCAAATTGAAGAGGCGCAATTGGAGGAACAAGTATATGAGCAAGTTGATGATGAAGGTATTGAGACTGATGATGTTGAAGGTACTGATACTGATGTTGTGAAGGCACTGATGAAGAGGGTGATAACAAAGATCCTGATTTTGTTGATAGCGATTATGAACAAAGTGAAGTTGAGGAGTGCTTGTTGAAACATGATGACAAGTGGTTTGATGGCAATGTAGATTATGATACGATTGACATTGATCTTAATGTAGAGGAAGATGATGATGAGTCAGACCATGGAGAAGACTCACCTACACTTGGAAGCACATGTAGCTCTTCTAGTGAAGATGAAGCAATTGCTAATTTGAGGATGAGGAGGAAGAAAATGCCAAATGGTGAGGATTTCAGGCTTGAAACTAATATGGCAAACCCACCATCAATAATAGAGCATATCGTCAATGATGGGGATCGGAGTCCGAACATAGGTCACCAACAACACACACGAGCATCGAACTCTAGAGTTTGTGCAAACTCACATATTTCATAGCAAATCCATGCCACAAATAAACTATTTTATTAATCATAAAAAAACTTCCCTACAATTATTACATTAGCTTATTTATAGGCTTTACAAGACTTGGACACCAAGGCTACTCGGTCAAAAAGTAAGCTAATTAATTACAAAATCACACATAAATAATAAAAGATATCCTAAAACTACCTAAATAAGAAAATAATATTATCTCAAGAAATAACAAATTAAAGGGTAATATCTATCCTGATCCACTTGCATCAATCAAGGACTCTTCTTTTACAATTCTTGTTCCAAGTTATAGTCCACCATTTCTCACCATTTCCCACGAGATAAAGCAACTGACTTTTCCCCATCTCATCAATCATGTATACTTGAGTTTGAGTTTCTCACCACACACCAAACCACCATGGTTAAAAATTCAGAAACTACCCTGATTTTGAATTTCCAAAAACTCAAAATATTCCAAACAGACCAATTTAAGAAACTTGAAAATGTGTATATGGTGAGAAAACTTGCATTGACACATAATATTTTGACAGTTCTTATTGTGCTATGGTATCTTGGCAACAGTACTGACAGCTGAAGCCATAGACATACACGATAGCAGGCTTAGAGCCTTAACATATATAATATGAAGACCAGTTCAGGTGCGTATATGAAAATGTCCTCTCTATCCCTCAACTTGAGTGTGGAAAAGCAACGGCTTTCAGAGGATATTTTCTATGTGAGGTTAAGCCAATGGTTTTCTGTCATGTGTAAATCCTCCCCACTTGCTTCGCCGGGCAATGCCCAGTCGAACTTGTGCACGATGTTTGCTAAGGCAATTTCATTAATAGCCATGGCAAACTGAAGTCCTGGGCAGACCCTCCTACCAGGTCCAAATGGAATCAATTGAAAGTCATTCCCTTTGTAATCTATACCACTATTCAAGAACCTTTCTGGCTCATACTCCTCTGGGTTGTCATACAGCTTGGGATCTCTTCCAATTTTCCATGCGTTGATGAAAACTTGTGTGTTGGCTTTAATGTTGTAGCCATTTACTTCCACGTCTCGGGTTGACATCCTGGGAAATAGTAGTGGAAGTGGTGGATGTAAGCGAAGAGTCTCCTTCGTCACTGCCTTCAAGTAGTGCATTTCAACCAAATCATCCTCTGTAATTACGTCTGTTTTGTTTCCAACTATTCCCCTTACCTCATTCTGCAATTTGTTCATGACCCTTGGATGCCTTAAAAGCTCAGTCATTGTCCACTCTAAGGCCGTATATGTGGTATCAGTGCCAGCACCAAACATGTCTTAAAAAGAAATGATTGGATTAAGATATTTAAGCTATGCAAAATATATAAATATATATACTACTATATGTTACATCTCTTTCACAAAAACACACACACATGCATATATATATATATATATAGAGAGAGAGAGAGAGAGAGAGAGAGAGAGAGAGTTATAGTTACCAAGATGATACCCTTTATACCAACCCTATCAATAGGAATACCAGCCAAGTTTTCTTTCTGAATTGCAAGCAAAACGTCCAAAAAATCCTTTTGGTCATCATCTCCACTCTTTGAACTATGGTTCATATGCTCTTGAACCGCTGTATCTATAAAGTCATCCAACTGCTTAGCCACCTTGTCTAACTTGGCTCCCAAACCATTAATATGGCTCAACCAAGAAAGCCATGGGATATAGTCCCCAACATTAACAGTTCCCAGTAAGTCAGTGAGCTCCCCTAAAAGCTTCTAAACATCCTCCCACTTTCCCCATCTTCCCCATCATTGTACTTCCTCCCTAAAGCCACTCTACACACCACATCATTAGTAAGCCTCACAAACATTTCGCTTAAATTCAAAACAGACGATGATGATGATGATGAATCATTTATGTATCTGATCATGGATTTGGTTTCCTCTTCCCTCACAGAACGAAAAGACCGAACCCTTGTGTTGCTCAAAAGATTTGACACACATATACTTCTCACCAGCCTCCAATACTCACCATACGGCGCGCTTGCGACATCTTTGTGGTTGTAGAGTAGCTTCCCAAAGATGGTGGACTTGGGTCGACTAGAAAACGCGAGGTCATGAGTTTTCAAGATCTCCCGGGCTGCCTCAGCTGAAGACACAAGAAGCACCGGGACACTTCCAAAGTGAAGAAGCATGAGAGGGCCATGGCGTTGGGACAAGGCTTGAAGTGAGCGATGAGGGGACGAGCCTATCTGGTGAAGGTTTCCAATGATAGGTAGCTTTGGTGGAGAAGTTGGTGGTGATGATTTTTGGGTGGCGGTTTTAGTGGAAGAGTACCATGTGTATAGGAAGATGAGGAAAATGGCCAGCAGTGTGAAGGACAAAGGTTGCAAAAAGGAGGAGCTTTCATTTAGCTCTTGCAATACTTGCATGGTATTTAGCATCTTCAGGGTTAGTGCTAAGAAAAGAATGTGTTGTGTGTGTTGTTTATAAAGGCAAAGATCATCCTACCACGCAGAACAGAACCATCCGTGGTTCCATAAGAAAACAAAACAACAAGAGGATAGGACCATCCAATGTATTTAAAAGTTGAAACCACCGCCTCACTACTTTGCGTGTGTGCATGCTGATGGTCCATTTGTAATAGGAGAGCCATGTGTCGGCCAACTTGGAGCCACATAAAAGTTTATGGACGAGTTTGTTTGTTTAAATTTGTTATCTTCTTCTTTCTTCTTTCTTCTTTGTTCTAGGGATGAGTTATTCCACACGAATTCATCCACTTGAGCAAAAGATGTAAATAATATATTTCCTTGTATTAAACAGATTACACAAAGTCTCTATTTATACTGATGGGGATCGGAGTCCGAACATAGGTCACCAACAACACACACGAGCACCGAACTCTAGAATTTGTGCAAACTCACATATATCATAGCAAATCCATGCCACAAATAAACTATTTTATTAATCATAAAAAAACTTCCCTACAATTATTACATTAGCTTATTTATAGGCTTTACAAGACTTGGGCACCAAGGTTACTCGGTCAAAAAGTAAGCTAATTAATTACAAAATCACACATAAATAATAAAAGATATCCTAAACTACCTAAATAAGAAAATAACAATATCTCAAGAACTAACAAATTAAAGGGTAATATCTATCCTGATCCACCCCTATGCTCGTGCATCAATCAAGGACTTCTTTTACAATTCTTGTTCCAAGTTATAGTCCACCATTTCTCACCATATACTTGCTGTCAATTTTGTATCAACAAGAGATCCCTCTCTCCTTTTCCCACTCAAAACTGTAAGTGATTTCTTTTATTCTTTCTTTTACATGTTCTCATCATGGACATATATAGATTTGAGAGGATATTTCCCATGCATGGTTAAACCAATAGCCTCAGTCAAATTCCCAAAACACAAAATATTTCCCAAGAAACCAGTTTAAGACATTTGCATTCACACTCACAACAACAGATTTGAGAGGATATTTCCTATGCATGGTTAAACCAGTAGCTTCAGTCACGTCCAAATCCTTGCCGGTTGCTCCACCAGGCAATTTCCAATCAAACTTATGTGCTATATTTACTAAAGCAATCTCAGTAACATCTGTGGCAAATTGAACTTACACAAGAATATGGAACTTGCACGGATCTTTATTTTTGTTTGGATGAACAAACACTAAAGGAACACTTTAGATACTCTTAAACAAAACTCGAATTTCATGATCTTATGTGTTTCACACATCCAACCTTCTAAAATGAATATAGAAAGAAAATATGTTCTAGAAAAACCTCATGGTAATGCAAGATAAGATCACAGTTAGATAAGATCACCATGGGGCATTTTCTTCTTCTTTTGTCTTTTACCTCCTCTCTTTTTGACTTTCTTTGTGAGAGTAATCTAATACTAGTCTTGTTTCAATTATCTTTCCCACTTTAATTTAGGCCCAGTTTGGGATTGCTGTCATTTTAAAAAAAAATTGCTTTTGCTGTGCTTTGAAAATAATTAACTGTAAAGTAAAGCAGCTTCATGTTTGGTAAACAATATTTTTAAAGGGTTATTAGTACAAAAAGCAGTGTCAAAACAGTTTGGTAAATTTTAATGTAAAATTGTTGTAACTGTGAATAATGACTAAAATAGACATGATGTTAAAAGTGTTATGTACTAATCATGTGGTGGTAGTGGTAGTGGTAGTAATGGAGTGGAGGTAGTGGTGGTGATGAAGGTGGAGTTGGGGGTTGTGGTAATGGTGGTGGTGGTGGTGGAGATGGCGATTGTGGAGGTGGTGGTGATGGTGGTAGTAGCAACATGGTGGTGGTTGTGGTGGTGGTTGTGGTGTTGGTTGTGGAGGTGGTAGTGGATGTGGAGGTTTTGGAGGAAGAGGTGGTTGTGGTGGTGCTGGAGGTGGAAGTGGTGGAGGTGGAGGAGGAGGTAGAGGAGGTGGTGGTAAAGGTGGTGGAGGAGGTGATGGTTGTGGTGGTGGCGGAGGAGGATGAGGATGAGAAGGATGTGGTGGTGGTGGTTGTGGAGGTAGTGAATGTGGATGTGGAAGTGGATGTGATGTCATTTTTTTAAAATGAATGATGGTATTTTGGGAATTAAAAAAATTCATTAAAAGTTCATCTCTGTTTTTTTTTAAAAGCAACTTTGAAAAGCAACCCAGAGCCTTTTAAAAGCTGTTGTCAAAAGGCCACTGCTTTTAAAATAATCGGGATATTTTATTTTTACCAAACACCTTAAACTGCTTAACTTTAAAGTGAAGCAGGTTTTTGACAAAAATAAAAAACAATCCCAAACGGGGCCTTAATCCCACGAGATAAAGCAACTGACTTTTCCCCATCTCATCAATCATGTATACTTGAGTTTGAGTTTCTCACCACACACCAAACCACCATGGTTAAAAATTCAGAAACTACCCTGATATTGAATTTCCAAAAACTCCAAATATTCCAAACAGACCAATTTAAGAAACTTGAAAATGTGTATATGGTGAGAAAACTTGCATTGACACATAATATTTTGACAGTTCTTATTGTGCTATGGTATCTTGGCAACAGTACTGACAGCTGAAGCCATAGACATACACAATAGCAGGCTTAGAGCCTTAACATATATAATATGAAGACCAGTTCAGGTGCGTATATGAAAATGTCCTCTCTATCCCTCAACTTGAGTGTGGAAAAGCAACAGCTTTCAGAGGATATTTTCTATGTGAGGTTAAGCCAATGGTTTCTGTCATGTGTAAATCCTCCCCACTTGCTTCGCCGGGCAATGCCCAGTCGAACTTGTGCACGATGTTTGCTAAGGCAATTTCATTAATAGCCATGGCAAACTGAAGTCCTGGGCAGACCCTCCTACCAGCTCCAAATGGAATCAATTGAAAGTCATTCCCTTTGTAATCTATACCACTATTCAAGAACCTTTCTGGCTCATACTCCTCTGGGTTGTCATACAGCTTGGGATCTCTTCCAATTTTCCATGCGTTGATGAAAACTTGTGTGTTGGCTTTAATGTTGTAGCCATTTACTTCCACGTCTCGGGTTGACATCCTGGGAAATAGTAGTGGAAGTGGTGGATGTAAGCGAAGAGTCTCCTTCGTCACTGCCTTCAAGTAGTGCATTTCAACCAAATCATCCTCTGTAATTACGTCTGTTTTGTTTCCAACTATTCCTCTTACCTCATTCTGCAATTTGTTCATGACCCTTGGATGCCTTAAAAGCTCAGTCATTGCCCACTCTAAGGCAGTATATGTGGTATCAGTGCCAGCACCAAACATGTCCTAAAAACAATTGATTGGATTAAGATATTTAACCTTTTGCAAAATATAAATATATATACTACTATATGTTACATCTCTTTCACAAAAACACACACACATGCATATATATATATATATAGAGAGAGAGAGAGGAGAGAGAGAGAGAGAGAGAGAGAGAGAGAGAGAGAGAGAGTTATAGTTACCAAGATGATACCCTTTATACTAACTCTATCAATAGGAATACCAGCCAAGTTTTCTTTCTGAATTGCAAGCAAAACGTCCAAAAAATCCTTTTGGTCATCATCTCCACTCTTTGAACTATGGTTCATATGCTCTTGAAACCGCTGTATCTATAAAGTCATCCAACTGCTTAGCCACCTTGTCTAACTTGGCTCCCAAACCATTGATATGGCTCAACCAAGAAAGCCATGGGATATAGTCCCCAAAATTAACAGTTCCCAGTAAGTCATTGAGCTCCCCTAAAAGCTTCTTAAACATCCTCCCACTTTCCCCACCTTCCCCATCATTGTACTTCCTCCCTAAAGCACTCTACACATCACATCATTAGTAAGCCTCACAAACATTTCGCTTAAATTCAAAACAGACGATGATGATGATGATGAATCATTTATGTATCTGATCATGGATTTGGTTTCCTCTTCCCTCACAGAACGAAAAGACCGAACCCTTGTGTTGCTCAAAAGATTTGACACACATATACTTCTCACCTGCCTCCAATACTCACCATACGGCGCGCTTGCGACATCTTTGTAGTTGTAGAGAAGCTTCTCAAAGATGGTGGACTTGGGTCGACCAGAAAACGCGAGGTCATGAGTTTTCAAGATCTCCCGGGCTGCCTCAGCTGAAGACACAAGAAGCACCGGGACACTTCCAAAGTGAAGAAGCATGAGAGGGCCATGGCGTTGGGACAAGGCTTGAAGTGAGCGATGAGGGTACGAGCCTATCTGGTGAAGGTTTCCAATGATAGGTAGCTTTGGTGGAGAAGTTGGTGGTGATGATTTTTGGGTGGCGGTTTTAGTGGAAGAGTACCATGTGTATAGGAAGATGAGGAAAATGGCCAGCAGTGTGAAGGACAAAGGTTGCAAAAAGGAGGAGCTTTCATTTAGCTCTTGCATGGTATTTAGCATCTTTAGGGTTAGTGCTAAGAAAAGAATGTGTTGTGTGTGTTTTTTATAAAGGCAAAGATTATCCTACCACGCAGAACAGAACCATCCGTGGTTCCATAAGAAAACAAAACAACAAGAGGATAGGACCATCCAATGTATTTAAAAGTTTAAACCACCGCCTCACAACTTTGCGTGTGAGAATTCTGATGGTCCATTTGTGATAGGAGAGCCATATAAAAGTTTATGGACGAGTTTGTTTGTTTAAATTTGTTATCGTCTTCTTTCTTCCTTCTTCTTTCTTCTTTCTTCTAGGGATGAGTTATTCCACACGAATTCATCCACTTGAGCAGAAGATGTAAATAATATATTTCCTTGTATTAAACAGATTACACAAAGTCCCTATTTATACTGATACAGGAAATCTATTTAAGGTAGGAAATAATATAGACATGAATACAATCCGATTTACAGCAGGAAAAGCTAATTACTAGGAGGAGGTTGTGAAGTTGACTTCCATGTGTGCTAGGAAAGGAAAGCTGCGTTAACACCCCCTGCAAACTGGGCGTCACATGATGCACAAGTTTGGAAGACATATGTTGATGGCGTGGTTTGTGAAGGGCCTTGGTAAACAGGTCCGTAGGTTGGTCAATAGAAGGAACAAAGCAAACTTGATGACTTCCAAGAGCAACCTTTTTACGGACAAAGTGATAGTCTAACTCAATGTGACATGTGCGGGCATGGAAAACTGGATTGGCAGCCATGTACGTGGTGCTGAGATTGTCACAAAAGAGTTGGACCGGAAACCAAAGACACACACCCAATTCATGAAGAAAGGAACGGAGCCAAGTGGTTTCGGCACAAGCATGAGAGAGGGCACGAAATTTCGATTCTGTACTAGAGTGCGAGACTGTGGATTGTTTCTTGGAACACTATGAGATGAGGTAGTTCCAAGAGTAATCACATATCCAGTGGTTGACCAACGAGAATCAAGGCACCCAACCCAGTTTGCATCAGAGTAGAGGAAGAGGTGAGCTGTAGCAGTTTGAGGAGTGAAGGTGAGGCCGAGATCAATAGTGCCCTTGATGTACCTTAGTATCCGTTTGGAGCAACAAGGTGAGAGGTGCAAGGGGCACTTATGAACTGAGCAACAATGTTGACGACAAAAGATATGTCAGGACGAGTAAGAGTGAGATACTGTAAACTGCCAACAAGCTTGCAATACTTGGTTGGGTTGGAGATTAGAGCACCATTAGAGACATAAAGGAGAACCTAGGCAGCCAATGGGGTAGATGTGGGTTTGGAGTTGAGAAGATTGGTTTTCTGTAAAAGATCATGTGCATATTTGAGTTGATTAATGTGGAAAGTGTCATCCATATGAAAAACCTGTAAACCTAAGAAATAGCTTAGCGAACCAAGGTCTTTGGTGTCAAAGTGGCCACCTAAAAGAGAGATGAATTGTTAGAGATGAGTGGAATCATTGCCAGTTACCATGATGTCGTCGACATATAGAAGAAGAAAGATAGTATGGGAGGCCTGTTGAAAAATAAATAATGAAGTGTAAGCTTGGCTCCGTATAAAGCCCATAAAGAGAAGGAAAGTACTAATGCGATAGAGCCCAAGCACGAGGTGCTTGTTTGAGGCCATAGAATGCTTTATGGAGCTTGCAAACATGAGAAGGACGAGTGGGATCAATGAAACTAGGGAGTTGAGCCATGTAGACATCTTCTTGAAGAAACCAATGGATAAAGGTATTTTTGACATCAAGTTGACGAAGGGACCAATCACGAAAAAATGCAAGACTGAGAACAATGCAAATGGTGGCAACTAGACGGGCTTTAAAGCGTTCAATGGAGTCGTCAGAGTGACTTTTAATCTTAAAACACTTGCACCCAACCATGTTCTGAGAAGGAGAGGAAGGAACCAAAGACCATGTTGATTTTTGAGAAGTGCATTGACCTCTTTAGTCTTGGCGTCATTCCATTCAGGATGCTTAGTAGCCTGTGAAAAACAAATGGGTTCAGTATGATTAACAACAATGAATAAGGCACGGGAAAATGGGTATTTAACAGTGCCGTTGGTATGAAGCTTGGGCTTTTGAATGCCATCTTGAAGGCAGGTGCGCATGCGAGGAACAAGGGCAGGAGCGGGAGAAAGGTGTATGCGAGGGCGTCGGGAATAAGTTTGGAGCAATAGCTGAGCTGACGCTGAAGAAGTGTCGCAGAGTGGAGCCAAATGAGGTAATTGGAGTCAGTAAGCTTGATAAAATGAGAAGAGTTGGGGCTAGGGAGGGAGATGGTGGATTCAAATAAAGCCATGAGGTGGACCTAAAGAAGAGGATTGGATCGAATAAGGGAGAGGGAGGAAACATAGGTAAGGTTGATACATGTAAAGAATATATTTCCTTGTATTAAACATATTACACCAAGTCCCTATTTATACTGATACAAAAAATCTACTTAAGGTAGGAAATAATATAGACATGAATACAACCCGATTTACAGTAGGAAAAGCTAATTGCTATGAGGAGATTGTGAAGTTGACTTCCGTGTGTGCTAGGAAAGGAAAGCTGAGTTAACAGAAGACAACAAAAAAATTTAGATGCTTTTGGAAAGCATACTGTGTTCGGCTTTTGACTTAAAAGAGTTCCGTGCCTCATTTAAGTTTCTATCTTGTACATAGAAAAATTCAAG